GATGGCAGGAAGCTTGGCCCCAGTGATGTACTGGGACGTACGCACTACCCTCTGTAGTGCCTTGCGGTCGGAGGCCGAGCAGTTGCCATACCAGGCGGTGATGCAACCAGTCAGGAGGCTCTCGATGGTGCAGCTGTAGAACTTTTTGAGGATCTGAGGACCCATGCCAAATCTTAGCAGCCCTCTCGATGAGCCCTGGAAAATCAGAGCGCAGAGAGGCTGCGGCGTAAGACAGGGCTGCTGAATTCTCAGGGCCTGTGTCGTCATCGCCCAGGGATGAACATGACCTCTCACTTCCCAAAGGAAAGGGGGTCTTGAAAATGTGGGTCATTGAGACGGATTGTTCCAAAGGAATATCCATCTCGTCCCAAATATACCTGTCTTCTCCTGAATCGGCGCCCTCGGATGACACTTCAGAAGCTGAGGCTAGCACCGATACCACGTCCTCAAGAGGGATATCCTCCCTGAAAAATTCCCAAAGCTGCTTCCTCTCCTTCAAAGAAAGGAGGGCGCAGCTGGCACATAGTGGGGGATCAATGAGGCCGTCCCTGGCGTGCTGTGACCCTAAACACACGAAACATAAGTCGTGGGGGTCAGCAGTCGCCATTGGTGGAACAGCGACATTGAGCTCTGAAAATAGCTTTTGGGGGTGGAAATTCTCCTGGTGTGCTCATTAGGACGATGTCGATGACCTGGAAATCGACGGCGTTTCTTCGTCCTGAGTCTTCGTCTTCGTAGGCTTCTTCAGTCCAGTCGCTGAAGATAATGGGAGGCTGAGGTAAAGCCTCCCCTCTTATAGGGACACCTGTACTCCTATTGGCTGCAGGTGTGTGCATAATTTTGTCTCAGGCTGTTCGCTGCCTAGGTAGCGGGGTAAACCAATAGGGGCGGAGCTCCACGATATAGAACGTTATCCGCTGAGTTTATAAAACTGTAAAAAAAGCAACATGGTAGCACCGTTTTATGTACACAAATTAGGTTGCTGTTACCCCCTTCCCTATTGCAGAATGCAGCCTTTTGACAGCATATTTATTCACCACACTTTCCCCTTGTTTGGTGATTGGCATTTAGGCTGTGACAACAAAAGGCAGCAGACAGACCTACAGTCTGTTTTAGCAGGACGTTTGGTAGGGTGACCTGATTTGTAACTATGAAAATAATTTGGTCAAACAGATTGTGAACCCAAAAGTGTACGTTTTATTCGAGAGGGGGGACAATAAATAGACAAATAATTTGGCTAGGGTGTAGGGGCAGATTCATGGCATCTTGTCTTCAGGAGATTTTACTATCTATTTACTTTATTTAGTCATATCAGTGGATCAATTCTCTTAACAATGAGCAACAATAAAGGGTTATTCACCACACTTATTGTATTATTCCACTTCTTCCCAATTTTGCCAGTGTAATCATATATTTTGAAATCTGATATGACTACTAATTAATTATATGAGGCTATGTATTTTTTCAGCCATTCATGGACTGTTTTGAATAAGTCATACAAATAAGCATTGGATATTAAATGACATTTTAGGGGGACTCACAACTCATAAACGCATCATATTTTCTCTCTGTAGAGGAAGATGATGACAGGGATCTTCAACTAGTAGGCATAAACCACCTGAATATTGATATTCATTAGACTTTTCTTGAAGGTTGGGTGATTTTTGAGAAGTTAATTGTTATAACAAGAACATTTTTAAACACCCAGCACTTGGAAAACATAGATCAGGGGTGGCCAACCCTCCTGGAGAGCAAGCAGGATTTTCTTTCAGGCCAAATTACAAAATGTGTGTGTCCTTACGTTGAAAGCAGTCTATTGACAAGGAGAATACAATCTATGATTTGGTTACCCACTACCATCAACAATTAATATTAGTATTTCCTGTGCAGTGCTTTGGTGTAGTGGTAACACTCCCCAACACGTGTCACATACAGCTTTCCACATGAGAACAGGGAACAATCCCTGCTTCCAACCTTCCCACTGTTTCTCCCATTTTCCTGTCTCTCCATCTCATTTAATTACTGTTTGAATAAAGTGTCAAACCACCTAATAAATATTAGCATACTCAAAGTAACAGTCATCCTAAATACACCTGACCTGTGGTTTTTATTTTTTAGAATTTTCCACCCTGTTCATAGGCCTAAGCAATGTCAAAATATGTAGAATTGCAGGAAATTATCTTTAAAACAGTAGATTTTTCCTTCACATTAACATAGCAAATCTCACTCAAAGCTTTCTTCAAAAGTTGCAGCCCTGTATTTGTTAGTCAACTTGTCTATAATTAGATACATGCAGCTTCTCTTCTGTCATTATGTGTTGCCCTAGAATACTAAATAAACCCTTGCTCACCAGAATAATGTCCTAAATTGACAGAATGAATGCTGCAATCTAGTTGCCATGGTAACATTTGTTTTCTCTTTCCTCATTAATCTCTGCTACACTTGTGCAGCAAAGAAGTTTAGGGACCGGGGAGAAAATGCAACAAAAAAATGGGAATGATTTTCCTTGCAAGATTTCCAAATGACATCAGTCAGATGGTCGGTCCCCAACCGCGCCGTTCATTCTCTCAAGATGAAACTCCAACTTTGTCCTTTTTGCCTCAGTGGATCGACATTAACCTAACAAGTTCCTAAAATCATTTGGCAAATGGTGTGTATTTGGTGTGCTACAGTTATGCCCTAAAGCTAACGTCAGATAAAAATAATGAAATAATAACCTCAATGTAGCCTACAGATATGAATTGCACAATAATTATACAGTTATGGATTTTTTAAATGGTTTGTTTCTCCTTATTCAGGCCACCGTGTTGAGGGTCAGTGTGGCTGACGTGTTGTTAGCTACCCTCACCACCTGGGGTCTGCCTGTCAGGAAGTCCAGGATCCAGTTGCAGAGGGAGGTGTTCATACCCAGGGCCCTGAGCTTAGTGTCAAGCTTGGAGGTTATGATGTTGAACGCTGAGCTGTAGTCGATGAACAGCATTCTCACATAGGTGTTCCTCTTGTCCAGGTGGGATAGTGCAGGGTTTCCCAAACTCTGTTCTGGGGTCCCCCCCCGGGTGCATGTTTTGGTTTTTGCCCTAGCACTACACATCTGATTCAACTAATCAAAGCTTGATGATCAGTAGGTTATTTGAATCAGCTGTATAGTGCTAGGGAAAAAACCTAAATGTGCACCCAGGATGGGTCCCAGGACTGAGTTTGGGAAACCCTGGCTGACAGGACAGTGTGTAGAGCAATGGAGATTGCGTCAACTCCTGGCCCTAATCACATTTAATTTGCTTCTTGGTCTTTGACTATTTGTTTTCCAATAATACTCCCTGTGAGTCCTCTCCCTCTATCCTCTCACTCTGAATGCAGTCTGTGTACCCATATTCAAATGGATTTTACCATCCTAACCTAACCGTCATGATAGGTGGATTCATGTTTAGAAAGAGGGAGGGAGGGATAAATATATATATATATATAGAGAGAGAGAGAGAGAGAGAGAGAGAGAGAGAGAGAGAGAGAGAGAGAGAGAGAGAGAGAGAGAGAGAGAGAGAGAGAGAGAGAGAGAGAGAGAGAGAGAGAGAGAGAGAGAGAGAGAGAGAGAGAGAGAGAGAGAGAGAGAGAGAGAGAGAGAGAGAGAGAGAGAGAGAGAGAGAGAGAGAGAGAGAGAGAGAGAGAGGTTGCCTGCACAGGTGAATAGATCAAATGCTGCGTCCGCAGTTGATTTGTTTTCACTCCTTTTGATAAGGTTTGGGATATTGATTAACTCTTATCAGTTTATGTTGGATACATTTTGTGGATTTCAACAGCTATTTGTCTGATTAAATGTATTCCAGTGTGAATATCTAAATAGGTAACCAGAACGAATAAGTCTGAATCCTACCAGTCAAAGGATGGACAGGATTCAACATCTGATATTATGGGGTGAGTTCAAGTCTTGCGTTTCACAAATGTATTGCTTTTCTTGTGAAAATTAAAGTTATATGTAAAAAATACTTTAAAGTACTACTTAAGTAGTTTTTTGGGGTATCTATACTTTACTTTACTATTTATATTTCTGACAACTTCTACTTTTACTTCACTACATTCCTAAAGAAAATAATGTACTTTTTACCTTATACATTTTCCTTGACACCCAAAAGTACTTGTTACATTTTGAATACTTAGCAGGACAGGACAATTGTCTAATTCAAGCACTTATCAAGAGAACATCCCTAAAGATGTCTGAGTGTTGGAGTGTGCCCCTGGCAATCCGTAAATAAAATAAAAACTTAATATAAGGAATTTGAAATGATTTATACTTTTACTTTTACTTTTGATACTTGAGTGTATTTTAGCAATTACATTTACTTTTGATACTTAAGTATATTTAAAATCACATACTTTTAGACTTTTACTCAAGTAGTATTTTACTGGGTTACTTTTACCTGAGTCATTTTCTATTAACATATCTTTACTTTTACTCAAGTATGACAATTGGGTACTTTTTCCACCACTGGTAAGTTCTACTAACAAGAGAAGCAAAACCGTAACATGGAAAGCAGATATTGTATTTGGCAGGTTATTAAACCACAAAGAAGGGCGCAAGAGTGAGAAAATTGTTTATTTATTTTTTATTAAAAATGTTCAAGTGACATTTACAATGGATATTCTGTTTGGGAAAAATATAGCCCAAACTTCCTGGACTAGCGTTCCGTCATATGCAAACTTCATGCAAAGACATCCCATCAAACAAATCCAAATCCCCAGTTGTAGACATGGAATAACAGTGGCATCAGTTTACTTACCTTTTGAATCAATAACCCTGTGTATGAGTGCTGGATTTAGGATCAGTTTTGCCTTCTAGATCACAATGAATATGATTACATGGACAGGGGGGACCTGAACCTAGATCAGCACTCCTACTCTGAGACACTTGATACATATGGCCCCTGATCTAGGATTATGAATGTTATCTGAATATGATCTTGAGTTTTCTTCCTCCTTCCCAGCTGTGTTGGTGGAGTGCTGTGTAGCTGAGAGACAGTACTTCCTCCACTCCAACTCCTCCACCTGGGAACAGGCCAGACTACACTGCCAGGTAGAACACTAAGATATGGAAACAACTTTATTGTCCCCATGGGACACTTTTCCTGAACACAGACTTGTTGTACGCAATATAAACCAGCGGTGGGCAATTCGTGTGTGCAGGCTTTTCTCCAACCCAACCTAGCTTTAAAACACCTGGTTAAACCAGTGACTCGATTGAGGACAATGATTAGATGTTGTTATCAAATATTAGTGCTGGACTGGAACAGAAGCCTGCACACATTGTGGCCCTCTAGGACCAGTACTGACCCTATATACCTAATATGATCCTTGTCCTGTTAGGCGTGCTACAAAGAGATGGTGAGCCTGACCCCTGACAACATCCAGCAACTTGCCCAGAACCTGAACTCTTCTTACTGGATCGGCCTCCGCAAAACCCTGAACAACGGCTCCTTCCCCTGGTCGAGCTGGTCCAACGGAGACCCCGTCACCTTCCAGAACTGGTACCCCGGTCGCCCCATACTCTCCAAGCCCAAAGACCCTGTGAACAATATCTTTAACTACAACAACTACTCCATCCCTCCCAATGACTGTGGGTGTTGCTGCCCCAGTCAGAGCAACCCTGCCAGTGTTCCCCTGACATCTACTACAGATTACTCTTTCACAGAGAATGAAAACATGACTGCATTATCAACGATGACACCAGACGTGACAACAATGACATCTGTCATGACTAGTGGACCAACGTTCTTTACGGGAGTTACTGGTGGGACCAATGGGACCAATGGGACGAATGAAACTGCGACAGACGTGTACATTGAGGAGCCTTGCATAGCCCTGCTCAGTTTCGGACTTTGGTTTGATAAAATCTGCTCAGAGCTTCTTCCCTATATCTGCTATGAAGGTAGGGGGTCTCCGTTTATTTAAAAAAATTACAATGTTTATAATTTAGTGCGATGATGTTCTGGGAAGTTGACTGAGATCTTGATGTTGGGGATGTAATACTTACTGGTAAACATGTTGATGTGTTTTCTCTTACCCCTCACCCCAACCCACACCAATCAACAACCACATCTCACCTGTGTATGTAGACCGTTTCTATGGTAATGCCAACATAACCAACAAGACACTACACAACGCGACTCTGAGCTGGACACGTGGGCCCGGTGACATCAGCGGATACAGGGTGGAGGTCAAGTCCACTGACTACAACCTGACCTTAAACCACAGCAGCCTGAACCGGACCTACGACCTTTCCAACCTCACTGCCGGCACCCAGTACAGAGTCCAGGTGTTCCCCATTAAGTGTTGGAGGGACCTCAACCCACAGAACGTCTCCTTCTACACCAGTGAATATGGGGAATACCACTAATATCAAATGTCACTGTTGAATAGGGCCACTACAACTACTGTTGCTGCTAATGCTAAAAGCACTATTATTGCTAGTACTGCTACTGTACAACTACTACTAATACTTGTAGTAGTAGAGATCCTAGATAGATAGATAGATATCTATGTGTAGATGGTTATTTGGATATTGGTGTAACAATGTTAAGACATCGATATCAATGATGATGATTATGCTGACTACTGATTATTAATTCTCTCTCAGAGCCTGACGTGATCAAATACATCAACATCACCAACGTCTCAGAAACAAATATCTTCCTGTCCTGGCCCGCTCCTGAGGGCAACCGTGGCTTCTACTCCATTCAGGTGAGGGATCAACCCAACCTGAACATGAACACACGCACAGAGAGCGCTGAGGTCAAAGGCCTGATACCAGGAGGGTTGTACATGTTTGAGGTCAACGCCAATGTGGAGGACATGTCCATCGAGGGAGATCAAACGAATATCACCTCCTACAGCAGTAAGTTAGATCACTGTTGTTGTTTTTGCTATGCAAATGTTTAACTGGTTTCCTAGAGGAACGTTTCCATAGGGGAAACTGTAAATATTACTTTCTGTTTCAAATTCCATTTTAATTTCATTCCATTGAGAAAGTTAATGTAATTTGAATTGAAAGGTCAGTTTCATACATTCATATTTGCATTGTCAGTGCAGCTCTCTCTCTCTCACACACACACACACACACAGACACACACACACACACACACACCCACACACACACACACACACACAGTGTTCTCTTCTTTCCCCTACAGAGCCAGGAAAGGTGTCTAACTTAAAAGCGTCTGCTTCTACTAAAGACAGTGTCGACTTCCAATGGAAACAGCCCGCAGGGAACACCTCTGGGTACAGAGTGGAAGTCTGGGTAGAAGAAAATAACAAGTAGGCTACTATAGAATGTTATCAAGTATGTAGGTTACTATAGAACTATTATCAAGTATGAAGGCTACTATAGAACGTTATCAAGTACGTGGGCTACTATAGAATGTTAGAGTATGTAGTTTACTATAAAACGTTATCAAGTATGTAAGCTACTATAGAACGTTATCAAGTATGTAAGCTACTATAGAACGTTAGCAAGTATGTAGGTTGGAACTCAGGACTCCCTGGAAAATTGTGGCAATTGATACTGGGTGCAGTATCCTGGCTAAATAAATAAAATGAATGAGACTATTATAGAAACGTAATCAAGTATGTAGGCTATTATCGAACATTAACAAGTCGTAGCCCAAAACAAACGCATGCCATCTGACTATCTACTGCTAATGTTTTCATAAATAAATAGACTCAGCTGTGGGATTATGGGAACAATTCACATAGAAATGTAATGTATAGAACACACTCCATTGTCCTGCTATATGGAACAGAGAACAGTCTCTAATCTATATGACAAGGATGCATGTGAACAGGATTGACACAAGGCCATTGTTTATTTTATTTATAGGACGCGGTCCAACATAACCCAGAAGACTCAGACAGGCACGAATTTTACGGCTAAGAACCTGCCGTCAGGTGCCAAGATCTGGCTGAGCGTGGTGGCACTGGTGCCGGACGGATCGGTGGAGGGAGAACTCAGTGCTGCGATGGGCCTCACCAGTGAGTTTGGACAGATGATAATGGTGTAGGGTGAAATTGCCCCTAGACACACTGATTGGGGGTCAGTTTTGCATTTCCCCCACTAATGGTTAAGGTTAGGATTGGGGGAGGGGAAGCTGATCCTAGACCTGAACCTAGGGGAAACTTCTCCCCGGAGCGACGATAATGTGGCATTAGTTCATTGAGCGGATGGTTGATTGGTTGGTTGATTGGTTGGGTGGTTGCTTGGGTGGTTGGTTGATTGGTTGGGTGGTTGATTGGGTAGTTGATTTATTGGTTGGTTGAATGGTAAGGTGAATAGTATCTTTGTGAATGGTGTATAATAACTGTATATTATCATAGCAATAGCCTAATCATTTCTCGCGACCATTATTATTTTCTCAATTTGTCACTTTAATATCTTTCCCTTGCTCCCCCATAGCTCCAGATAAAGTTAGGAACTTACTGCTGGTACCTACTGCGGACACCATCAATGTGACCTGGACACTACCTCAGGGAAACTTCGAGACCTTCAGTGTTCAGCTCAAGCTGAACTTCTCTAACAAGGAAGTGGAAAACAGTATTACAAATGCCAGTCACATTTCCTTCCCCAAACTGATGGCAGGAGTCGCATATAATGTGACAGTCACCACTCTGAATGGGAATCTCAAGAGTGAACCAGAGAGCGTCACAAATTTCACTCGTGAGTTATTAGTTAACCTTTCTCTCTCGCTCTTTGAATAGACGAACACATTCCATCAATATTGATACATAGCTGTAGTATAAAAATACAAGAAGATAGAAATGTATAATTTTTATTGTTGACATCTAATCAATATTATTCTTAACCATGTACAGTACATTGTCAAAGGGCAACAGCTGAGGTAAATTTCAAAAGCTTTTGAACTTTGAGAGGTTTTGAACTTTGAGATGTATGGTTTAAGTCACTCCTCTCTACTCTTTTTCCCATAGTTCCTCTCCCACCGAAATCAGCCAAAATCAATTTCTTCAATAACAGTCATGTCAACCTGACATGGCAAGCCCCCACGGGTGTACAAGATGTACAAATAACGTACCTGGTGAAATACAGTGCTGAATTCTGGAACGATACGGAGATACATGAGACGACCAACACCAGCTATATGTTTCTTAAGTTGAAGGCTGGGACCAATTACATCTTCGAAGTACGAGTGAAGGCGGGAACCCAGGAAAGCGATCCCATCCAAACATCACAGACCACAAGTAAATTACTCACCGTATCAGGCATATTTACATATTTACATGTCGCTGAAATATCTTGCTTACAGATCTAATAATGTTCGGTGACAATGTTTGTTGTGGGTGACCTTTATTTTTATCACTCCCTTACATTACATCTTAACTCGCATGGGTCTCTCTCTGTCTATTCTCTCTTTCCCCCTCTCTCTTTGCCAGATGCTACGGTGAGGGTTCAAACTATGACTATGGAATGTGCCTCCAGCAAACCTTCCTTCTGTGAGGATATCGGCGCACGGACAGAGGTCTTGAAACAGGTGAGGTCATCATCACAACATCCTCCAATCACATTACATTCATCAGCAGATCCTCCAATCACATTACATTAATCACCAGATCCTCCAATCACATTACATTCATCACCAGATCCTCCAATCACATTACATTCATCACCAAATCCTCCAATCACATTTAATTCATCGCCACATCCTCCAATTACAATTGTATATTGTAGTAATTTTTAGCAGCTGCCCCTATCCAGAGCCACTTACAATTAATTGGTAAGTCAACCACATAACAAGATAATTGCTTTAAAAATATTTTTTAAAAAAGCTGCAATGAGCAACAGTAGTTCTAGTGAGAACATAGAGAAAAAAATATGTATAGAAGTTCAGTGTCAGATGTTTTTCCCCATCACATACAGAATATACAGACAGAATAAATCAAATGGAATGTATTGTCTAACACGTTGAATACAAAACTAGTTTTTTTTCTGTATTTTTATGTCTGTACTTTTTTTGTTACAGTTGCAGGAACGTTTCAGCAAGACGTTCAGCAGCAAGGTTCAAGATAACAGCAGTTGGGTAAATAACGTGTTCTGGGAATTAGCGTGGCGAGAGGCATAATTGCACACACACACTTGTACAGGTCATCATCTATTCAATATCATTTCTTAGTTAAGATTAAGATAAATTGTATTTTGATTACTTAAAAAATTATAACGTGATAAATGAAGAGTTACAGTGGGGGAAAAAAGTATTTAGTCAGCCACCAATTGTGCAAGTTCTCCCACTTAAAAAGATGAGAGAGGCCTGTAAATTTCATCATAGGTACACGTCAACTATGACAGACAAATTGAGATTGTTTTTCTCCAGAAAATCACATTGTAGGATTTTTAATGAATTTATTTGCAAATTATGGTGGAAAATAAGTATTTGGTCACCTACAAACAAGCAAGATTTCTGGCTCTCACAGACCTGTAACTTCTTCTTTAAGAGGCTCCTCTGTCCTCCACTCGTTACCTGTATTAATGGCACCTGTTTGAACTTGTTATCAGTATAAAAGACACCTGTCCACAACCTCAAACAGTCACACTCCAAACTCCACTATGGCCAAGACCAAAGAGCTGTCAAAGGACACCATAAACAAAATTGTAGACCTACACCAGGCTGGGAAGACTGAATCTGCAATAGGTAAGCAGCTTGGTTTGAAGAAATCAACTGTGGGAGCAATTATTAGGAAATGGAAGACATACAAGACCACTGATAATCTCCCTCGATCTGGGGCTCCACGCAAGATCTCACCCCGTGGGGTCAAAATGATCACAAGAACGGTGATCAAAAATCCCAGAACCACACGGGGGGACCTAGTGAATGACCTGCAGAGAGCTGGGACCAAAGTAACAAATCCTACCATCAGTAACACACTACGCCGCCAGGGACTCAAATCCTGCAGTGCAAGACGTGTCCCCCTGCTTAAGCCAGTACATGTCCAGGCCCGTCTGAAGTTTGCTAGAGTGCATTTGGATGATCCAGAAGAGGATTGGGAGAATGTCATATGGTCAGATGAAACCAAAATAGAAGTTTTTGGTAAAAACTCAACTCGTCGTGTTTGGAGGACAAAGAATGCTGAGTTGCATCCAAAGAACACCATACCTACTATGAAGCATGGGGTGGAAACATCATGCTTTGGGGCTGTTTTTCTGCCAAGGGACCAGGACGACTGATCCGTGTAAAGGAAAGAATGAAAACCTCCTTCCATCAGCAAGGGCATTGAAGATGAAACGTGGCTGGGTCTTTCAGCATGACAATGATCCCAAACACACCGCCCGGGCAATGAAGGAGTGGCTTCGTAAGAAGCATTTCAAGGTCCTGGAGTTGAAAATCCGTGTTGCCCAGCGACAGCCCCAAAACATCACTGCTCTAGAGGAGATCTGCATGGAGGAATGGGCCAAAATACCAGCAACAGTGTGTGAAAACCTTGTGAAGACTTACAGAAAACGTTTGACCTGTGTCATTGCCAACAAAGGGTATATAACAAAGTATTGAGAAACTTTTGTTATTGACCAAATACTTATTTTCCACCATAATTTGCAAATAAATTCATAAAAAATCCTACAATGTGATTTTCTGGATTTTTTTTCTCATTTTGTCTGTCATAGTTGACGTGTACCTATGATGAAAATTACAGGCCTCTCTCATCTTTTTAAGTGGGAGAACTTGCACAATTGGTGGCTGACTAAATACTTTTTTCCCCACTGTAGATGTGTGCCAATAATTTATATGTTTTGAATTTCTTGTCTTGTGTAGCTATCCTTGTCTTGCTTGTTTTCGGATGTAATTATTGTATTTTCTACTAATATAGTGAGGTGAAAAAGTATTTGATCCCCTGCTGATTTTGTACGTTTGCCCACTGACAAAGACATGATCAGTCTATAATTTCAATGGTAGGTTTATTTGAACAGTGAGATACAGAATAACAAAAAATTCCAGAAAAACTAATTTCAAAAAAGTTATAAATTGATTTGCATTTTACATTTACATTTACATCATTTAGCAGACACTCTTATCCAGAGCGACTTACAAATTGGTGCATTCACCTTATAGCCAGTGGGATAACCACTACAATATTATTTTATTTATTTATTTATTTTTGGGTGGGGTAAGTGGGGGTAGAAGGATTACTTTATCCTATCCCAGGTATTCCTTAAAGAGGTGGGGTTTCAAGTGTCTCCGGAAGGTGGTGAGTGACTCCGCTGTCCTGGCGTCGTGAGGGAGCTTGTTCCACCATTGGGGTGCCAAAGCCGCGAACAGTTTTGACTGGGCTGAGCGGGAACTGTGCTTCCGCAGAGGTAGGGGGGCCAGCAGGCCAGAGGTGGATGAACGCAATGCCCTCGTTTGGGTGTAGTGACTGATCAGAGCCTGAAGGTACGGAGGTGCCGTTCCCCTCACAGCTCCGTAGGCAAGCACCATGGTCTTGTAGCAGATGCGAGCTTCAACTGGAAGCCAGTGGAGTGTGCGGAGGAGCGGGGTGACGTGAGAGAACTTGGGAAGGTTGAACACCAGACGGGCTGCGGCATTCTGGATGAGTTGTAGGGGTTTAATGGCACAGGCAGGGAGCCCAGCCAACAGCGAGTTGCAGTAATCCAGACGGGAGATGACAAGTGCCTGGATTAGGACCTGTGCCGCTTCCTGTGTAAGGCAGGGTCGTACTCTCTGAATGTTGTAGAGCATGAACCTATAGGATAGGGTCACCGCCTTGATGTTAGCGGAGAACGACATGGTGTTGTCCAGGGTCACGCCAAGGCTCTTCGCACTCTGGGAGGAGGACACAACGGAGTTGTCAACCGTGATGGCGAGATCATGGAACGGGCAGTCCTTCCCCGGGAGGAAGAGCAGCTCTGTCTTGCCGAGGTTCAGCTTGAGGTGGTGATCCGTCATCCACACTGATATGTCTGCCAGACATGCAGAGATGCGATTCGCCACCTGGTTATCAGAAGGGAGAAAGGAGAAGATTAGTTGTGTGTCGTCTGCGTAGCAATGATAGGAGAGGCCATGTGAGGATATGACAGAGCCACGTGACTTGGTGTATAGCGAGAATAGGAGAGGGCCTAGAACTGAGCCCTGGGGGACACCAGTGGTGAGAGCACGTGGTGCGGAGACAGATTCTCGCCACGCCACTTGTTAGGACCGACCGGTCAGGTAGGACGCAATCCAAGAGTGAGCCGCGCCGGAGATGCCCAGCTCGGAGAGGATGGAGAGGAGGATCTGATGGTTCACAGTATCAAAGGCAGCAGACAGGTCTAGAAGGACAAGAGCAGAGAGAGAGTTAGCTTTAGCAGTGCGGAGAGCCTCCGTGACACAGAGAAGGGCAGTCTCAGTTGAATGACCAGTCTTGATAGGGTCAAGCGGGTAGGTTGGGTCAAGCGGGCAGGTTGTTGGGTGGCCGGCCGTCACAGGTCGCAAGATTTTATCTGGAGAGAGAGGGGAGAAAGAAGTCAAAGCATAGGGTAGGGCAGTGTGAGCAGGACCAGCAGTGTCATTTGACTTAACAAACGAGGATCGGATGTCGTCAACCTTCTTTTCAAAATGGTTGACGAAGTCATCCACAGGGGGGGGGGGATTCAGCAGGGAGGAGAAGGTGGCAAAGAGCTTCCTAGGGTTAGAGGCAGATGCTTGGAATTTAGAGTGGTAGAAAGTGGCTTTAGCAGCAGAAACAGATGAAGAAAATGTAGAGAGGAGGGAGTGAAAAGATGCCAGGTCCACAGGGAGTCTAGTTTTCCTCCATTTCCGCTCGGCTGCCCGGAGCCCTGTTCTGTGAGCTCGCAATGAGTCATCAAGCCACGGAGCAGGAGGGGAGGATCGAGCCGGCCGGGAGGATAGGGGACATAGAGAGTCAAATGATGCAGAAAGGGAGGAGAGGAGGGTTGAGGAGGCAGAATCAGGAGATTGGAGGGAGAAGGATTGAGCAGAGGGAAGAGATGATAGGATGGAAGAGGAGAGAGTAGCGGGAGAGCGAAGGTTGCGGCGGCGCATTACCATCTGAGTAGGGGCAGAGTGAGTAGTGTTGGAGGAGAGCGAGAGAGAAAAGGATACAAAGTAGTGGTCGGAGACATGGAGGGGAGTTGCAGTGAGATTAGTAGAAGAACAGCATCTAGTAAAGATGAGGTCAAGCGTATTGCCTGCCTTGTGAGTAGGGGTGGACGGTGAGAGGGTGAGGTCAAAAGAGGAGAGGAGTGGAAAGAAGGAGGCAGAGAGAAATTAGTCAAAGGTAGACGTAGGTAGGTTGAAGTCACCCAGAACTGTGAGGGGTGAGCCATCCTCAGGAAAGGAACTTATCAAGGCGTCAAGCTCATTGATGAACTCTCCAAGGGAACCTGGAGGGCGATAAATGACAAGGATGTTAAGCTTGAATGGGCTAGTGACTGTGACAGCATGGAATTCAAATGAGGATATAGACAGATGGGTCAGGGGAAAAAGAGAGAATGTCCACTTGGGAGAGATGAGGATTCCTGTGCCACCACCCCGCTGACCAGATGCTGTCGGGGTATGCGAGAACACATGGTCAGACGAGGAGAGAGCAGTAGGAGTAGCAGTGTTTTCAGTGGTAATCCATGTTTCCGTCAGCGCCAAGAAGTCGAGGGACTGGAGGGTAGCATAGGCTGAGATGAACTCTGCCTTGTTGGTAGCAGAGCGGCAGTTCCAGAGGCTGCCTGAGACCTGGAACTCCACGTGGGTGGTGCGTGCAGGGACCACCAGGTTAGAGAGGCAGCAGCCACGCGGTGTGAGGCGTTTGTATGGCCTGTGCGGAGAGGAGAGAACAGGGATAGACAGAGGCATAGTGGACAGGCTACAGAAAATGGCTACAATAATGCAAAGGAGATCGGAATGAAATGAACTAAACATCTGGGAAAGGAGAGAGCGGGAGAGCAGCATTTTAATGAGGGAAATAAGTATTTGACCCCCTCTCAATCAGAAAGATTTCTGACTCCCAGGTGTCTTTTATACAGGTAACGAGCTGAGATTAAGAGCACACTCTTAAAGGGAGTGCTCCTAATCTCAGCTTGTTACCTGTATAAAATACACCTGTCCACAGAAGCAATCAATCAATCAGATTCCAAACTCTCCACCATGGCCAAGACCAAAGAACTCTCCAAGGATGTCAGGGACAAGATTGTAGAGCTACACAAGGCTGGAATGGGCTACAAGACCATCGCCAAGCAGCTTGGTGAGAAGGTGACAACAGTTGGTGCAATTATTCGCAAATGGAAGAAACACAAAATAACTGTCAATCTCCCTGGAATGCTGCCTATGACCCCAAGAACACCATCCCCACCGTCAAACATGGAGGTGGAAATATTATGCTTTGGGGGTGTTTTTCTGCTAAGGGGACAGGACAACTTCACCGCATCAAAGGGACGATGGACGGGGCCATGTACCGTCAAATCTTGGGTGAGAACCTCCTTCCCTAAGCCAGGGCATTGAAAATGGGTCGTGGATGGGTATTCCAGCATGACAATGACCCAAAACACACGGCCAAGGCAACAAAGGAGTGGCTCAAGAAGAAGCACATTAAGGTCCTGGAGTGGCCTAGCCAGTCTCCAGACCTTAATCCCATAGAAAATCTGTGGAGGGAGCTGAAGGTTCGAGCTGCCAAACGTCATTCTCGAAACCTTAATGACTTGGAGAAGATCTGCAAAGACGAGTGGAACAAAATCCCTCCTGAGTTTTGCCACCAAGTACTAAGTCATGTTTTGCAGAGGGGTCAAATACTTATTTCCCTCATTTAAATGCAAATCAATTCATAACATTTTTTACATGCATTTTTTTGGATTTTTGTTGTTGTTATTCTGTCTCTCACTGTTCAAATAAACCTACCATTAAAATTATAGACTGATCATGTCTTTGTCAGTGGGCAAACATACAAAATCAGCAGGGGATCAAATACTTTTTCCCTCACTGTACATTTTAGTTAGATATTTTCTCTGACCAATTGTCTAAATGAATGAATAAAAGTCTGACTGTGTCTTGGTGTGGAGAAAAAAATGTGTTTGGTTTTTTGTGTGTGTAAAATTAGTGTTTTCTCTAAAACTAGGTATTTGCATCTCAATCAAGAAGGCACCTGATGTTGAGGACAAAAATGTGTTGGAAGTTGGTTATTCAATTTAACTAAACATCTTTGCTGGAGACCCCCAGGAACCATGTAACGTAATATATATATATATATATATATATATATATATATATATATATATATATATGTTTTGGTTGGTCAGCCATGTTAGGCGGGGCAGTGGATGACTTTTGTACCAAATAGCAATTGATAGCAGCATGAATTTGTGCTTTGTAGGGGGTTTATTGAATCTAAGATTATACGGTTGCTCAATGTTGAAGATTGAATTGTTTTGAATGAAATTAATCAGATCCGTTGATTTCCTGCCTATTTTATTTTGTATTTATTTCACCTTTATTTAACCAGGTAAGCCAGTTGAGAACAAGTTCTCATTTACAACTGCGACCTGGCCAAGATAAAGCAAAGCAGTGCGATTAAAAACAACAACACAGTTATGGGGTAAACAAAACATAAAGTCAAAAATACAAACAGAAAATATATATACAGTGTGTGCGAATGTAGTAAGTTACGGAGGTAAGGCAATAAATAGGCCATAGTGCAAAATAGTTAAAATTTCGTATTAACACTGGAATGATAGATGTGCAAAAGATGATGTGCAAATAGAGATACTGGGGTGCAAATTAGCAAAATAAATAACAATATGGGGATGAGGTAGTTGGGTGGACTAATTTCAGAATGGCTGTGTACAGGTGCAGTGATCAGTAAGCTGCTCTGACAACTGATGCTTAAAGTTATTGAGGGAGATAAGAGTCTCCAGCTTCAGAGATTTTTGCAGTTCGTTCCAGTCATTAGCAGCAGAGAACTGGAAGGAATGGCGGCCAAAGAAGGTGTTGGCTTTGGGGATGACCAGTGAGATATACCTGCTGGAGCGCAGACTACGTGTGGGTGTTGCTATGGTGACCAGTGAGCTAAGGTAAGACGGGGATTTGCCTAGCAGTGATTTATAGATGACCTGGAGCCAGTGGGTTTGGCGACGAATATGTAGTGAGGGCCAGCCAACAAAAGCGTACAGGTCACAATGGTGGGTAGTATATGGGGCTTTGGTGACAAAACGGATGGCACTGTGATAGACTACATCCAATTTGCTGAGTAGAGTGTTGGAGGCTATTTTGTAAATTACATCGCCGAAGTCAAGGATCGGTAGGATAGTCAGTTTTACGAGGGCATGTTTGGCAGCATGAGTGAAGGAGGCTTTATTGCGAAATAGGAAGCCGATTCTAGATCTAACTTTTGATTGGAGATGCTTAATGTGAGTCTGGAAGGAGAGTTTACAGTCTAACCAGACACCTAGGTATTTGTAGTTGTCCACATACTCTAGGTCAGACCCGCCGAGAGTAGTGATTCTAGTCGGGTGGGCGGGTGCAAGCAGCGTTCGGTTGAAGAGCATGCATTTAGTTTTACTAGTGTTTAAGAGCATTTGGAGGCTACTAAAGGAGTGTTGTATGGCGTTGAAGCTCATTTGGAGGTTTGTTAACACAGTGTCCAATGAAGGGCCAGATGTATACAAAATGGTGTCCGCATAGAGGTGGATCCGAGCTTCACCAGCAGCAAGAGCGACATCATTGACATACACAGAGAATAGAGTCGGCCCGAGAATTGAGGGGGGAGAGAATTCTCGATTATTGTAGATTTATCGGTGGTGACAGTGTTTCCTAGCCTCAGTGCAGTGGGCAGTTGGGAGGAGGTGCTCTTATTTTCCATGGACTTTACAGTGTCCCAAAGCCTTTTGGAGTTAGTGCTACAGGATGAACATTTCTGTTTGAAAAAGCTAGCCTTTGCTTTCCTAACTGATTGTGTATATTGGTTCCTGACTTCTCTGAAAAGTTGCATATCGCGGGGGCTGTTCGATGCTAATGCAGTACGCCACAGGATGCTTTTGTGCTGGTCAAGGGCAGTCAAGTCTGAGGAGAACCAGAAGCTATATCTGTTCTTAGTTCTGACTTTTTTGAATGGGGCATGCTTATTTAAGATTGAGAGGAAAGCACTTTTAAAGAACAACCAGGCATCCTCTACTGACGGAATGTGGTCAATATCCATCCAGGATACCCGGGCCAGGTCAATTAGAAAGGCCTGCTCGCTAAAGTGTTTTAGGGAGCGTTTGACAGTGATGAGGGGTGGTCGTTTGACCGCGGACCCATTACGGACGCAGGCAATGAGGCAGTGATCGCTGAGATCCTGGTTGAAGACAGCGGAGGTGTATTTAGAGGGTACATTTGTCAGGATGATATCTATGAGGGTGCCCATGTTTACAGATGTAGGGTTGTACCTGGTAGGTTCGTTGATAATTTGTGTGAGATTGAGGGCATCTAGTTTAGATTTTAGGTTGGCCGGGGTGTTAAGCATATCCCAGTTTAGGTCACCAAGCAGTACGAACTCTGAGGATAGATGGGGGGCAATCAGTTCACATATGGTGTCCAGGGCACAGCTCGGGGCTGAGGGGGGTCTGTAGCAAGCGGCAACAGTGAGAGACTTATTTCTGGAAAGGTGGATTCTTAGAAGTAGAAGCTCGAACTGTTTGGGCACAGACCTGGATAGTACGATAGAGCTCTGCAGGCTATCTCTACAGTAGATTGCAACCCCACCCCCTTTGGCAGTTCTATCGAGACAGAAAATGTTGTAGTTAGGGATGGACATTTCTGAATTTTTGGTGGCCTTCCTAAGCCAGGATTCAGACACTGCTAGAACATCAGGGTTGGCGGAGTGTGCTAACGCAGTGAATAACTCAAACTTAGGGAGGAGGCTTCGGATGTTAACGTGCAAGAAACCAATGCTTTTACGGTTACAGAAGTCAACAAATGATAATGCCTGGGGAGTAGGAGTGATACTGGGGGCTACAGGGCCTGGATTAACCTCTACATCACCAGAGGAACAGAGGAGGAGTAGAATAAGGATACGGCTAAAGGCTTTAAGTACTGGTCTTCTAGTGCGTTGGGTACAGAGAAAAAAAGGGGCAGGTTTCCGGGCATTGTAGAATAGATATACAGTGGGGGAAAAAAGTATTTAGTCAGCCACCAATTGTGCAAGTTCTCCCACTTAAAAAGATGAGAGAGGCCTGTAATTTTCATCATAGGTACACGTCAACTATGACAAACAAATTGATTTAAAAAAAATAATAATCACATTGTAGGATTTTTAATGAATTTATTTGCAAATTATGGTGGAAAATAAGTATTTGGTCACCTACAAACAAGCAAGATTTCTGGCTCTCACAGACCTGTAACTTCTTCTTTAAGAGGCTCCTCTGTCCTCCACTCGTTACCTGTATTAATGGCACCTGTTTGAACTTGTTATCAGTATAAAAGACACCTGTCCACAACCTCAAACAGTCACACTCCAAACTCCACTATGGCCAAGACCAAAGAGCTGTCAAAGGACACCAGAAACAAAATTGTAGACCTGCACCAGGCTGGGAAGACTGAATCTGCAATAGGTAAGCAGCTTGGTTTGAAGAAATCAACTGTGGGAGCAATTATTAGGAAATGGAAGACATACAAGACCACTGATAATCTCCCTCGATCTGGGGCTCCACGCAAGATCTCACCCCCTGGGGTCAAAATGATCACAAGAACGGTGAGCAAAAATCCCAGAACCACACGGGGGGACCTAGTGAATGACCTGCAGAGAGCTGGGACCAAAGTAACAAAGCCTACCATCAGTAACACACTACGCCGCCAGGGACTCAAATCCTGCAGTGCCAGACGTGTCCCCCTGCTTAAGCCAGTACATGTCCAGGCCCGTCTGAAGTTTGCTAGAGTGCATTTGGATGATCCAGAAGAGGATTGGGAGAATGTCATTTGGTCAGATGAAACCAAAATATAACTTTTTGGTAAAAACTCAACTCGTCGTGTTTGGAGGACAAAGAATGCTGAGTTGCATCCAAAGAACACCATACCTACTGTGAAGCATGGGGGTGGGAACTTCATGCTTTGGGGCTGTTTTTCTGCAAAGGGACCAGGACGACTGATCCGTGTAAAGGAAAGAATGAATGGGGCCATGTATCGTGAGATTTTGAGTGAAAACCTCCTTCCATCAGCAAGGGCATTGAAGATTAAACGTGGCTGGGTCTTTCAGCATGACAATGATCCCAAACACACCGCCCGGGCAACGAAGGAGTGGCTTCGTAAGAAGCATTTCAAGGTCCTGGAGTGGCCTAGCCAGTCTCCAGATCTCAACCCCATAGAAAATCTTTGGAGGGAGTTGAAAGTCCGTGTTGCCCAGCGACAGCCCCAAAACATCACTGCTCTAGAGGAGATCTGCATGGAGGAATGGGCCAAAATACCAGCAACAGTGTGTGAATACCTTGTGAAGACTTACAGAAAACGTTTGACCTGTGTCATTGCCAACAAAGGGTATATAACAAAGTATTGAGAAACTTTTGTTATTGACCAAATACTTATTTTCCACCATAATATGCAAATAAATTAATTAAAAATCATACAATGTGATTTTCTGGAAATTTTTTCTAATTTTGTCTGTCATAGTTGACGTGTACCTATGATGAAAATTACAGGCCTCTCTCATATTTTTAAGTGGGAGAACTTGCACAATTGGTGGCTGACTAAATACTTTTTTCCCCCACTGTAGGTAGCTGCTAGTAACTGTTTATTACTATAGCTTTATAGTAGTTGTTATGATGAGTTTCTGGTATTGAGAAGTTCAAGATGCAAGAATTTACTTAGACATTCTGTGGAGATTTTACCAAGTATTTATTTGATCACAAGCCCGTGGTTTCATCTAACAAACGGACATAGCCTTACCCCATTGTCAGTTGAACTGCCCACATACACAAATCTCACATCTTTTATACTCTTGGTTACCATTCCTTCAACCACATCTGGCCATCGTCAATGAGCACTACCCCTTCTATGTCATGGCCTCTTACCCCCAAGCAGGACGTTCCCTCCGTACATCATTCTAATATAAACCCCACTATCTTCCTTTTGGACAGATTGGAATTTACTACCCCAGACTTAGAGTCACCCAGAACCACTCATCCATACTAACTTTAACATAGTTACACACACTCATATGAAATGGCCTCATACCCTCATCATATTAGCAGTCTATAGTAATAGACAGCTATAGTAATAAACAGCTTTAGTAATAAACAGCTGTAGTGTGAGGTAGAACCTTCAGAATAAGCTGGCCTGTGGCTTGCTGACACTTATCTCCTGTTTGAGAGACAAGGCAACCTCCAGAGTATTCCAAACAGAGAACTTTATTGACATAATGCTGCGCGGATGGGAACGGTCTAAAACAGGAATAGAAACAGGAATGGATATGTGATAAGCATGATACACAAACATGATAGCAGAGAAGAGTACCACTGAATATAAACACTATGAATGGACTGTTGCTATAGTAACTAGACTATATTTAGGTGATAATGACAGAGAAGCCGGTGTTTGAAGGATATATTGGCACGGGTGTTGTTAGGGCAAACCATTCCAATATATCCTCCAAACACCAGCTTCGAGGGCATTATCACTTTTATACAACGGGTTACCAACATATTCAAATAATTATATACATATTTTCATTAAAAACGTTATTTTGATGAATTTATTCATGCTATTTCATCCTTCCACAAGATATAGTTCCGACACAAATCTTGGGTTGCTACCCTAGCCGGCTGGTCATTCGTTCTATCAGTTCGGTTGCCAGAGATGTGACCCAGTCGTTCAGTCTTTTTGTTCTGTATCTATGGACGTGACCCAGTAGTTCATTCTAAATGTTCCATTGCCATATTGGCTGGCAACGTTCTTATCCCTTGCCTGCTAGCGAACTACGGCTAACTTACAGTCACGTCAAACAGTGCACCCAGAATAACAGTAAAGTAGCCACATTTGCATTTGTTTAAGCTGTTTTCTTGTGACATTTATTTGGATACATCCATAACAATGAGCTAATGAGGTGCGATTTCACCTGGCATAGAAAATGTGCTCTCTTGTCAGGACACTGTTGTTCAGAGGAGCTAGCCAACAACACAGTTAACACAATCAATTCAAACTGAAGCTGGAAAGACTACAAACTAGCTGCACTTCATTTCATTTTACCTTTTTTCAATTGACATTTCTTAGTATATATCCATAATAATGGTGCCAGGTGATTCATGATTTCGACTGGCTGAGAAACGCTGCCTGCCTGTCTGTCTCGTCCCGACTCCTGACATGTTCATTACTATGGGACAGCTGGAGATCAAATTTAAATATCGAAACAATGTTGCAAATGTCGGATAGACAGACAGCAAGATTTATACAAATGTCTGCTGTTGAAAACTTGTTTGTCTAAAAGTAATGTGAGATATTGTCTAGATGCTTTTTATATTGGAGATCAAGTTTATAAATTGCTTGACTGGGCTGATGAGACAGTGGATTGCGCAGTCAGATGGAACAGAGTAAATATGCATTTTAATGTCATAGATTTAGCCCCTCCCCCCTAATGTATAACCTAATTTGTTGAATAGGGTTGTTCAAAAGGTAATAAAAACTGGTGCATATATTTGTGTCCGCCCCGTCTCATAGAGGAAGATAATAGGAAAGAAGGAGACATTCATATTGTTGGGAGAGGAAAGGGAGGATAGCAAAGAAGAGGAGGACCGGGGACAGGTCATCCTTCACGCTGTCTGTCAATGTTCATATTACAAATTATGACAAATTGTCAATTAGGACAATATAATAACACAGACAATCAGATGGTTAACGAATTCCAACTCATTTACCGTATTCTCCCTACCCCGCTTATCCCTCTACCATCTCTCCCTCTCTCTCATTCACTCCCATCCCCCTTTCACCCTGCCCCACCTCTCTCCCCTTCATCCTTCACCCCACTTCCTCCTTCCCCCTGATATCTTCCTACCTTCTCCTCCTCCCTCTCCTCTGCCCCCCTCCACCCCCCCCCCTACACCAATCCCTCCACCCCCAAACATATAAACTCCACCCCTAACCCATCCCTCCACCCCCGACCCATGTCCCTCACCCCTCCCACCCCTTCCTCGCTTCCTTCAATTGCTCTCCTCCCTTCCCTTCCTCCTTCCATCCCTTCCCTTCCCTTCCTTCCTTCCCTTCCCTTCCCTTCCCTTCCCTTCCCTTCCCTTCCCTTCCCTTCCCTTCCCTTCCCTTCCCTTCCCTTCCCTTCCCTTCCCTTCCCTTCCCTTCCCTTCCCTTCCCTTCCCTTCCCTCCCCCTCCCCCTCAGACTCCCATACCTGACTTGATGACCCTGCCTTGGCATAAAGAGTGTGCAAAGCTGTCATCAAGGCAAAGGGTGGCTACTTTGAACAATCTCAAATATAAAATACATTTGGTTTGTTTAACACTTTTTTGGTTACTACATGATTCCATATTTGTTATTTCATAGTTTTGATGTCTTCAATATGATTCTACAATGTAGAAAATAGTAAAAAAATAAAGAAAAACCCTGGAATGAGTAGATGGCTCTGGTTGGTACTAATACTGGAGATAGAGATGGTGACTAGTGATAGTGTTGGTTCCTTGACCGTAATGAGCTGTGTCCCACAGGAGTTTATCCAGAGAGTGATGAGGTTTCCACGGCTACACTTCCTGTGGGTGGGGCTAACAGACACTCAGGAGGAGGAACAGTGGGTCTGGTGCGATGGGAGAGATGTCCAGTGTGAGATAAACCCACTGAGTCTATTCTCCTGTTATTGAGCCAAATACATTTGAATATCATACGTGAAATGTACAGTGACTGTAAAAACTTTTCCCTGTAAATTTACAATATTATACTGGCACCACAGTATACATCACTGCTGTAAAGCAAAATTACAATATTAAACTGGCAACTGTGGTGTTGATCATGTGGCGTTGATAAGTGTATGTCAGCTTCATCAGGTCATCCACTTCCCTCTTGTCTGCACCACTGGGGCCCACACAGCTGAAAATTGTTGCCATCGCCTCGTTTTCCAGGGAGTCTGGGGGTTTCTTTCTCTGGAAGGTCCTGTGGTTGCCAGTTGATGCAGCTATAACTGACAACCTTGATTCTTGCTGTTTTTTCCTGTCTGCTGATGTCCCTTTCCTCTTCATTGCTCCTCTTGGGTCTATGGATTCTATCAAAAGTGCGGTTATGATTTTTATGCTCCACTCCGGTCTTAATCTTAGTGAACAGGGAGTGGTACCCACTGCCAAGTGGCTCTACTTCCTCTGTCAGGTCTCCAAAAGTCTTACAATGGATTTTTCAATTTCACTGCATACAGCCCTGTTGGGATTGGGGCAGTGCTCACGCATGGCGTCGACAGTCTCCCTCACCATCTGCCGTCTCCACCCTCTTTCCTTGGGTAATGGCCTGCTTGAGGCTGGAGGGAATCTTCTGCCAAGGTACCTGGAAGTTGCTGACCCACAATGTGCTCATGTTAATCATTGTTGTTGTAGACAAAGAAGAGGCCAGACTTGGAGGGGACAGTAGTTTACTCACACCACTGACTGACTCACAAGGCAGAGGGGATGATGAGCGACCAGAACCTTTAAAGAAGAAAATATAAAACAATTTAGGCAAAAAGGACAATGTGTAAGAAATACAGTCCTTACCAATGTTCCCTCTAACTGTTTTCGGCACTGAGCAAATTTCAGGTCTGCAGAGAGCAAACTCTGTCACGCTCTGGCTCCGGGACTTTGTATGTTGAGCCAGGGTGTGTTCGTTTCGTGGTGTTCTGTTTGGTTGGGTTGTTCTATGTGTTGTATTTCTTTGTTTGGATGAATGACTCCCAATCAGAGGTAACGAGTGTCAGCTGTTGGCTCGTTGTCTCTGATTGGGAGCCATATTTATACTGTCTGTTTTTCACCTTGTGTTTGTGGGTTTTTGTTCCGTGTTCAGTCAGTGTTACTGTGGACTTCACGATCGTGTTTTGTTTTGTACTTGTGCTTTAACTTATTAAAGTCATGTTCGTTTCACACGCTGCGCCTTGGTCTACTCCTTCTCGTCAACACGATCGTGACAAACTCGAACGTTGTGAACCCTGAGGCTGTACCCGCTTTAAGTTACAGTTTTAACAGTGGCCAAGTAGGCTACTGTGGCTATTTGATCATAATGTAGGCCTACCAGAGTGGCCTACCATCAAAAACAATAGAGAAAATGCATCAAATAACATTTTAACATGGAAATAGCTGTTCTATCATTCCGCCTACAGTAGCAGCCAATGTGTGGTGCTTTTTTTTTTAAACATGGAGGGCTTGACATTAACCTGTTTATCCACTTGTCCTTCAGACAAGGCACTGAAAATGTTGTTGTGTTGTTTGATGCAAGAAACCACTTAACAAAATAACATTATTCTCATATCATTATTACAGAGAATCAGACAAATTATGCTACCCTCTGCCCATTGGCTACTTTGCTTATTCAAGCCTTAGTCAAAATATAACACTGGCCCTTTAAGACAAAAAGAAAAGCTCTTTACCTGACTCACTTTTCAAAGATGTCTAGAAATGTACACATTTTGTGTTCTTGTAGGAAGCAATCACTCCCCCATTGTGGACTACAAATTATCTATAACTGGGCTAATAACTCACTAACTAGCAAAGGATATTAACAATGTGCACACCTGGCTACATGCAGCTCTTGCTTTGATCTCAAAACAAGCCCATCTACTCACGACCACAGCTGTAAACACAGCCCAGTTCAAAATAAATGGCACAGATCCATATATGGCAATGGTCTATTTGCATATAGGCCTACTGCAGCTCTGATTGGTTATGCCGCACTGGTGTAGAGTATGGGCTGAGTAGTGCGTGTCAATGCAATAGAATCCTACTCCGATGCGTTTCTTACCTAGTTCGTTTTGTTTCTAAATGTTGTATTGAAAGTGGCTAATATTGCGTTGATTCGATCACAATTGCCACAGTAAAGGAAAACGTTGATAGTGTTAACTAACAGAAAGTTGTGTGAAGTTCAATCTCGTGCTTCTCTTTGTGGGCTGATATTTATTCTATGCGGGACTTAGAGGGAACATTGGTCCTCACCATAAGTATTTGAACAGTGAAGTGTAGAGCACTGGTTTAGAGATCAGATGATGAATATGATGTGAAAGTACATTGCCTTTTAATTTAGGGTAAATATTAGGGTGGTGTGTTCCTACTCATTCACACATTGTTCAAAGGTAAGAAACGATCGTAACAGCTGAAAATGCAGATGATCTACTTAGTCCTATTGAATTATCAATAAAATAGACAGCATAATAATACATGGCAGGGATCTACGGTGGGACCATTTTACTCCCATATGCGCCTATATATTTTGTTGTGCCACCTGGAATTTAAATTTAGGAGCACCAGTGTGCCTAGAAAAATTGAAAGGATTCTAGATTTAACACCTCATTTTCATTGTGCTCCTACATTTATTTGTCTGCGCCTACATTTTTCAACTTAGGCGCATACGTACTCCTGGTGAAAAAGGTCAGCTTAGAGCCCCGCATGGCTGTCTACTGCTTCCAGACACAGAAAGGTATTCCATTGCCCCATATATTGTTTCACTTCCGAGAGGAGTAAAACCTTTCTTCTCCTGACACTTATGCCAAAACATCGTACAATCAAAATGAACTAATAATCTTTCTTTATCTTTTTGCCGGCTACGCATGTTTGTCGAGGGACAGATCGTTAGAAAATGCACCGACAAACAAACTATTTACAGATCAAAACAATTCAGCCTATCCATTCTTCATTTTTATTTTTTAAAAATACAAAGAAAAAACTGTCTGTTAGGCTATGCACTGTACTCCATCCCAGCACAAGAGGACAAACAAACAATTTACAGAAACATTCTTTCTTTTTTGTATTTTTTGTCATTTCTGTTCCTTTTATTGCATATGCCTCGCTCATAGAATAAACCATTTATATTGAGAGCAAACAAATGAACTATTTACATAACCTTTTTAACCTTGTGTGTCTGTACACTCTTAGAAAAAATTGTTTCTCTTTTGGCTTTCCCCATAGGATAACCCTTTTTGGTTCCAGGTATATCCCTTTTGGGTTCCATGTAGAAGCCTCTGTGGAAAGGGTTCTAAATGGAACCCAAAAGAGTTCTACCTGGAATCAAAAAGGGTTCTTCAAAGGGTTCTCCTATGGGGACAGCCAAATAACCATTTTAGGTTCTAGATAGCACCTTTTTTCATAACAATTACATACAGTGGGGAAGAAAAGTATTTAGTCAGCCACCAATTGTGCAAGTTCTCCCACTTAAAAAGATGAGAGAGGCCTGTAATTTTCATCATAGGTACACGCAGTGGCGGCTCCTGAAAAAATTCTCAGGAGGGGCAATTTTTCTGATGATTTAGGTGACCTACACACATTTAAAAAAAAGATATGTCCAGCAACAACATGAAGACAGGGGCAGCATATAAGTCAATACCAGAAGCATTTATTGACTGATCTCAAAAGTGTTGGCTTACCAGGGTTGGTGGAGCCCTCAGTTTCATCTTTGCCTCGCAAAGCTAACTCAAACACTCCGCAAAACTTCACACACTGGATTAGCCGGCTGAGGATGTGGCGGTTCTTGCTAATGTCGTAGTAAATATATTTGTTATAGTGAATATGGAATATGATATGTTGAGTAAAATGTTGTGCTAAGATCTATTTAGGTCAGGAGCTGGTTATAAGT